CTTCAAACTCGAGCTCTTTGGCATTTCAACTTGGCTTTTGAGGCTTTGTCCTCTCTATCCTCTTAGTTTGGCAATGCCAACAGCATGCAACAACTAATTAATATGATTTCTGTCATTCGCATGTGTGTATTCCTTTGTACATACAAACTAACATACATATACATAGGTACATATACCATGTAATTATTCCATTCTCTCCGATTCACAGAAATTACATTATCAGTACTTGTAATATCTCAAGTTGTTGTATAAAGAACTTTATAGAAATTATATCGAATTATAACAGATATGCAGACATAAGGAATTACTGAATAATAAATGTGTATACTAAACATTGCTACACCAGATCGAGTTATATCAAGAACTGATATATCAATGATTCTGGTATCGCAAATTATTATAACAGATAAAGATAGATATTATCAAATATTAAATAATATAAAAATGGTATAAGTGCTATAATAGAGTCTTCTATAAGGAGCTGTTATATCAGAAATTACTATATCATTATGTAATCCAATATAGTAATATCAAATTCTATCTCAAATTGCTGTATCCTAAATTACTATACTAAATATTTTTATACCAGTAACCATTATATCACAGATTGCCATTTCATAGCCATGATTTTCCTTGGTACCTTTTAACTACAGTTTAATGTTTATTAAGGGGCACTGCTATCCAAAATATTCCTTAATTTCGGGTCATAAATTATGGCAGGCTAAAAGCTAGCCATTACATGAAGGACATTCCCTATTGGTAACGATAAGTAATTGCTTCAATCGATAGTCCGGCGACTGTCTTGAATGCTATTCGAACCATCTGCAGCTCATTCAATATAAACTGTGCTTGCGCACACAACACCCAATTAGGCGGCAGAAACCATCGAGTCCAAACTGTGATAAAGTCAATGGCGCAGGCTAATCAAAAAATACTTAAACCAAATGGCACGGCATTAGCGGAAGGAAGATAGGCGTGCGGGTGGGGCGCACCATCCACGTAATAAAACGAAAGAACACTTTCTTTTTTTCATTTTTTTCCACTTCCCGTTTGGCATGTGAGAAATTCGCACGCAATAAGTCGAACCGCTGTCAGCTGGTGAATTCTGGTGAATAATATTCCTTTTATTATTATCATTATATACTATTATGATTTTAATACAAATGGATGGCACGCTGATGCGACGCAAGTGAAGGTTATGACATTCAAATTCAAATTCTATTTTCAATCAGACGCGAACAGACTTGAAAGATGCCCCCTGGCAAAAGCGACAACCGCAACAACAACGATAACATATGGCAATCTCGCTGGCGACATCGACGATGACTACAACAACGACAACAACAGCAATGACAACAAGTCAACCAACTCAATTATACAAACATTAGAAATGCATCAAAAAATAACGAAGGATATTTGAGCACGAAACGAAGTCAAGTCGAATGTGGAAATGGTAGTAAAAGTGGGAATACAACTGGGAGTGGGAGTGGGAGTGGAAATTGTAGCTTGGGGCCTTCATAGACTCGCACACCATGATTTCTTCACACAATCAACAGTAATCGATAACACTGCACAATCAACTGTGCGAATAAAATTTGCAACTAAAATAGTTACAAGAATTCAATTATTACTTCAGCTTTATCAATATGCGAGTGTTTGTGTTATCTGTATAGCGAGGGCCAAGTTGTCAGACCTGTTTGTTGTGCACTTCTTAGATAACTCTGAACGATGATGGAACGTTTCCGTATGTTTTTAAAAGCGGCGTCGATGAAGGTAGTTAGTGGTAGACCCATTGCATTACAGCAATGAGTCAACTGAGTATTACAATCATATCAATTTGTATCAATTATTACAGTTTTTCTATGAATATTTTCATATATAACAGTTTGCAAGTTACCCCAAATATAACACTTTATAAAGAGAGTAATTGTATAGTCTACAAGTTCTGTAAATATAACAGTTTTTAAGCTCCCCCCCATATAAGAATTTGTGAGTTTCACCAAATATAACAGTTTCATAGAAAATAAATATTTCTATGCTCGCCCAAAATATAAAACTTTATAATATATACAAATTTTTGAAAATATAACAATATAAAATATAACAGATATAAAAACTGTTATACATATATAACAGTTTGTAAGTTGAAAAATATTTGTTTCACAAATTTTGACATAAACAAATAGAGAGTTTGCCAGATTCCCCAAAAGTTTATCAGATATAACAGTTTATAAGTTTAACAAAATAAATGATTGTGAATTTTCAATTATAACAGTTTAAAAGTTTTGCCAAATATAAGTTTAAGTAAAAATAAATGGTATATTTATGTATTATAAATGGCATTTGAAATACATCACTTTATCAGTTTCATCATTTATAACAATTTGTAGGTTTAACGAAATATAACAGTTTGATGGATACACATTTGGCTCTGTGAATAAATCATTAAATATATTTACCATACAGTGATAACAGATGAGTCATTGTTATTGATCGATATTTATCTAATTTTACTTAAAAGTTACACAACTTATGACTAACTTACTCTATGGATAATTTTAATTGATCGTTATTCAGAGTTTTATCTAAAGTTCGTTAAGCCAACAATCCAGAATTTATCAATATATTTTCAAGCAGAAATTATCGTTTTTTTTTGTTGGTGTATTTGCTTTATGATAATAATATATAGAATATTATAGCTCTAATATGTTCAACATGTATGTTAGACAGTGTAAAAGTCATTTAAAGCGTTTACTTGGGCACAGGCATTATGTCGTTGATGTGGCTCGCTGTGGGTCTACGTAACCTTCATTGAGTTCTGTGCTCTGTGCGACTGATTAGCTAAATGGCTTTTGGTTTTTATTATATTTTATTTTGGGTACGGCTCAGTGGGGAGGGAGGCGTACATAGACCGTGCTATCGAATCACGTGAATGAACTTGTTTGCACACGACCAAAGAAGCGTATATCATAGCATCTATATATATATATATATATATATATATATATATGTATATATTTATATATGGATATATGTATGCAGATAAATGTGTATAAACAAATATAAACAAACGCAAACAGCGTCGAGCGAATGGCAAATTTCATTCGGCGACTGTTTCCGCTTTCATGTCAATGGCAAATTTTTGCACACTCAACGCCAATCAATTTCGAGATAGTTTACGATTATTGTTTTTGGCTGCGAACATTTTGGGGGAGGAGGTTAGAGAGCGGAGCTAGAGGCGGGTGCTGTTGAGTAGTTGGGTGTCAGTCGCGTGTCACAATCAGCTACTTCCACAAACAAACAAACAAACAAACAAACACACATACACGCACACAGAGAGAGAGAGAGAGAGAGAGAGAAATGCAAAATACAAAAAATAAAAATATAAGCCATGTAAATGTTATGCATTATTATTGGTCCCCCTCTTTCGGAGAGTGCATAATATGACAGAATTTATTTGACATTTGCAAATCTGGCGTGTGAAAACAATTACATACCTTAAACTAAGCTGACTCTGTATGTGTGTGTGTGTGTGGATGTCTGTGTGTTGCGAGGAAAAAATGAATTTGTGCACCGGGAAGCTAACCACAAAACATTGGTAATGGCTCTGGCAATGACAATGCACTCAAGTGCACAAATTGTGCAAGAGGTGCGAAACGGTAAAGCAACAACAACAAATTGCATATGGCAAAATGGGGGATTGATCATATAGCTAATAAACTACTTGAATAATGTTAAAATAGCAAATTCAGAGTGCTAACAGAACTGCCGTAAGCACTTAACAGCGCTGCGAGCGATGTAAAGTTTACATTTAGCCATTTTGCAGAAGTCTTAACATTCGCTTAGCAGAGCTAATAAGAATCTAGCAGCAAAGCGAAATTAGCTAACAGTTAACTAATTGCCTTGCATTTGTTAAACGGCAGCAGAGAGGAAAATTGCTCAAATTTAACAGTTACAGCAAATTGCAGTGTTGGCTACATGTTAACAATTAGAAACAAATTTGCAATTGTATTGCTAACACGTAATTCAATTGATCTCAAATATGTTCGATTATGTTAAGATAAATGTATATATACATATATGTACATTCTTCTAGGAAAATGCTTGTGTAAATATCTTTCGAATATACAAAAATGAGTTTAACAGCGCAAGAACTTTCATAAAATGCATTTATTACGTTTTTCGCTGCTATTTTTAGGCAAACAACAACAACAAAATGGAGAAAAGAAATACAAAGTTGGAATGCTCTCACGGGAGATATGTACATATGTATGCATATAGCAGCTGTTGATGTGTGTGTGTGTGTGTGTGTGTGTGTGTAAGGGAATGCACTGGAATTGAGACAAATAACATATTTTTCCCCAACACAAGGGAATGAAATATGCATTCTCTTTCAATTCTCTTGTGTAAACAGAGAATTTTACCCAACAACAACTTTGCATACTTTCTGCAATGACAATAGCCAATGTTGTTGTTGTTGTTGTTGTTGTTATTACTGTTGCTGATGTGTGGTGCTGTGTGCTTGAACAGCGTAATGAAAGGATTAAGCTGAAGGATTCGTATTGCGAGAAATGAGTGTAATCAGCAAATGTCAATTGTTATCTACTCTGCAGCAAAGGAAACTGGGGCTAGATTGGGACACAACAGGACAGGAGCAATATACAGTGAAAGCTCTAATTAACGAACGTCCCTTGTTCGCATGAGATGTTCGCTCGAGAGAGAGATTAAAGTGAGCTTTGTTTACCTCTCTCTAAGAACTCTCACATCATCATTGAGGCTTTCACTGCATACACACACACACACACACTCTCTTTTACACGGACAGAGACAACGAGAGAGACAGAGAGAGAGAGAGTGTGGAGCGAGCGAACGAGCGCTAATTGTGAGAGAGAGAGAGAGAGCAGATGATTGTGGTATTCAGCTTGCAGGGAGAGCGAGCATACAAGAGAGAGAGAGACAGCGAGAGAGAGAGCGATTGCTTATCAATGTGATCATCATCGTTATAAAATACCAAATTCGGCAACGAAGAAGTCGCGCAATTTCAATCTGGATTTCTTGGGCTCCTCGCGCGGATGATGCACCGTTATCTGATCGCCATCGGCCGATATCATTGTCTCGCTGGGCGGCGATATCGAGTACTGCTGCAGCATGCGGCGCTGCTGTTCGGTGAGCTCGTCCAGCGGATCGTTTGCTGTCATTGCTGCTGCTGATACGGCGGTGGCGCCACTGCAGCTGCTGCTGCTGCTTCCGGCCCCCACTAAACAGGCAGCCGAACTGGAGGCAGAGACGCCGCTGCCGCTGCCGCTGCCACTGCCGCCGCCAGCAGCGGCCAATTGCTGAGCGATGAGCAGCTTCTGTGCATGCTCCTCGGCCTCTTTTTGTTTTTTGAAATCTTTTGTTTGTTTTGTTTTGTATTTTTTTTTTTTTTTTTTTACACACATACATACATTTACATTGATATATAGACGCAGATCAAATACATATCGATACATGTAGATATATAGAGTAAAGATTAAATATAGCATCAAACGAAATAAAAATTGGGTAAAGTGTGCAGGGGCTGGCATAAGGGCGTGGCGGCTGGACCAGAAGCGAGCTGTATAAGAGGCAGAGCGCTGGCTGAAGAGCTAGCGAATCGCATTTTATTCTCATTATTTAATATTGATAAGAATTATATTTTTGTTCAATTGTTTTTAACATTTCATATGAATATCAATTTTACTGATATTTAGGGAAATTTGTGATCACATATGTTAAATGGCTATTTCTAGTTAGCACTGTTAATAACATAGACATTTTTAACATTCCTAACAGAGCTAAGTTCATTCATCTTTTTTCTTGTTCTTGCTTAGAAGATCCCAAATTTGTTTTCTCTATAATTTAATTATTGTTCGTTGAATTTTGATTTTCAACGGCAAATCAAAATTAAATTTATATGTATATATTTGGCGGTGTAACTGGCTAAAATTTGATGTTGATATTGATATAGAAGATTGATGGATTTGGTCGAAATTGCGCTCGCATTTGCACTTTTATCGAACGGAAGCACACCGAGACGCGGCTGAACCAATTGCCCGGCGAGGCGAGAAAAATCAAATATCAAAAGTATATATAAACATATACCTCTATATACATATATATGTATATTTCAAACTTATAATCAAATGGGTGTGGCTGCCACGATGAGGGGCGAATTGAGAAAGGGTGAGTGGGTCGTAGCAACAGCTGCTGCTGCTGCTGCTGCTGCTGCTTCTGCTGCTGCGGCGTGAAAATTTAATTTCAATTTGCAATTTGAAAAATGAAATTTCGGCATCAGCGAGTCGTTGCGAAGTGGAGGGGAATTCAAATTAATGATAATATATTTACACATATATATGTACATATGTATATATATACAAGTTTATATCTGCCACTGTGACAGAGTCAGAGCCATTGCAGAGTGCATGACCTGGCCCAGGGAGTCGGCCTTGGCGTAGGGCGTGGCCGCCCACGCAAAAACATCACCCATGAATAATGGTCGCCCTTTATTATTTTATGTTTCTCTCTTTTTCGTTTCGCTTCTAGTTTTATTCTTGTTTTTTTTCTGTACTTTTTTTGTGGGGGTCATCATTAGCTGAAGGTGGCCACGTCAGAGCCACGGTGCGGAAATGAGCAGCCATGGCAGCAATGGCAAACAACAACAATTGCTGAAAATTGTGGCCAAATGCAATTTTGTAGACAAGCCAAAGTCGTCAATAAACCGATCAGTGTTGCAGCGCCACCTGCCGCACAAAACGGGCGCACAATAAGCGGCTTAAGCTGAAGGCTACAAATATCCCCGCCCTCCCTATTCTACCCCACCGCCCCGCTTCCTTCCGCTGCGCTAAACAGAAATAACTAAACTGTTTACGCGCTTACGACTGGGGCCCATTGCTATAATGTAAATGCTAAATGTTAATAAGAAATGCAGCGAGGCGAATACTTAAACGCAATTAACACACTGCTTACCTGCTCTTATCAGTGCAGGTAAGAGTTGAAACGTTGGCGTCTCACGTGATGCAAATGCCCCTTTTTAGCATTTCTACATTTATAGAACGAGTAAATTTTACTTGAAACTGATTCACGATCGGCTTATCAGCAAAATGGCCAATTATGTCGCTTGGCGATGACGTCATGCCGCAGCGCATTGCCATGGCCCAAATGGGCATTATATAAAAAGAAGAAGCAGCCGAGTGCAGTGAAAAGTAGCGGCGCGTATATTTAAGAGCCGCGAATTGACGTTAACGATCATGTTAGTAGCAGGCGGGCCGCTGTTATGTGAAAAGGCGCCGCTGTTAATTGCTAATGAGCATGTTAAGCGTGTTGACAAAAAGAAATACAAATAAAACAAATAGTAGAGAAAAATAAACAATTACAAACAAACCGCAGAAACAACAACACCAGCCAATAACAATAACAATAACAAAAAAAACAAGAACGAGGCTCTCTGGCTGCATTTGAGAAGCAATGAAAATCAATTAAAATTAATTGATACAAAAGTCAAATTAAATGGGGAGGGGAGGCCGCTTACGGTGCGGCATGTGTTTGTTCTTGTTGTCGTTGTTGTAATTGGCTGCTTTTGCGTCATTTGTTGTTGCTGTTGCAAATTAAACGAACAATGTGGAATAATTAGAAAATGCAATCGCTTTGAGGCGCTCTCCTCTGCACCCTTTCTCTCGCTCTCTCTCTCTCTCTTAAATCAAGAGATTAGCTCGCTCGCTCACTCACACACACACAGACAGTCCAGCCAGCCAGCCAGCCAGAATTAGGTTATAAATTAAAAGAATACGGGGAATTGTCGGAAAGAGAATGGGAGATAAACCGCATAATAGGTCTAGAGGTATTTTTCATTACTTACTTTCCAGCAGCCGTTGTATGAGACTGTCCACATTTAAATCAAAATCGCCCATGATTATTTTGTTTTTGTTTTTACTTGTATGTTTGTTGTTGTCCTTCTCTAGATGCAGTGAACTCCAATTGGAATTGTTCGCGGCTCAACTACAACAACTCTCAAAAGTAAACGCACACGCACAAAATGTTGTTTGTTATTTTGATGTTGCTGCTACTGTTGTTGCTGTTGCGACTGTTGTTGCTGCTGCTGCTGTGGTTGTTGTGTTGCCGCTGCTGTGCCGTGTACTTAATTTTTTTTTGTGTGTGCCGCAAAAGGCAATTTCACTTTGTGTAACACTTTTCAGCGCTTTTTGCTCTGTTGCGTTGCGGCGTTTTACAGTTACAGTGTTGCTGTTGTTGTTGTTATTGTGGTTGGTATTGGTGCCGCGGCTGCTGTTGTTGCTGTTAAATTTTTAGGCTATTTTTGTGCAAATGGAACAATTGTTGTTTCTGTTGATTTTCTCACTTGATGCTACTGCACTGGCAAAAAAATAATGTACGGTAATATAGTGCGGACGCGTCCCTTTTAATTTATTCATTCAAACAAAATTCCACGACACATTCGACTAGGAGCGCTTCAAATTATCTGGTTTTACTCCGCGTTAAAAACAAATAAAATAACCAAACATGGCGACAGTCTCGCGTGAACTATTGGGCAAGTGTGGCCACGAAGACTATAAACGAAAATACTTGACACTTGGCGCTAAAAAATACCCAAGTATTTCGATATCGATTACAGCTAAAATACCATAATAAAGATTATTTGTCACATTTATTTTGCAATCATATAGTTTTAAATTAAATAAACCAACAATTATTTTTATTGTTTATATACTACTTCAAATATATGCAATTGTACTATTTTATCATATAACATCAAATAGAATTGTCGATAGACCGCAGTAAATATTCTATTGAAGGCGCGCACATTCAAACAAATCAAAAAGAGAATACTGTAAATGCTAAAATATATATATACTTTTTGAAATAACTTTATATATTACATTTTATGAGATCTAAAGCAATCTAAAAACCCAATAGTAAATTAATTTTAATTGTCAACTAAGAATAGCAATAGCTATTTGATTTTTTGTTGTTGTTTGACCTATCGTATTTTCTTTGCGTTCGCGGCCAACTTCAAGGCTTTCAAATTTGCGCTATTCGCGCTCTGTTTACCAACAAACTGCGTTCGGCGCTTAAATAGCAGCTGTTCAGCAATGATGAATTATTTTCCCAACTATTATTCAATTGAGGACATTTTTGTCACCCAAGAGAAGGTCGAGTGCAAAGTCAACACCCGTCTACAGCGGCTGGGTAAGCAACGATAAAAGTATTTGATCTGTGAAGACGCTATATTCGCATTGGTCTTGCAGGCTTCCTAGATGCCGGTGCTGAAACGGAGGACCTGGAGCCCGGCCGAACGATCAATCTTCCACTGTGGTACATCAAGGAGCTGAAAGTGAACAATGCGTACTTCACAATAGGCGTGCCGGACATCTACAAGAATGTGCACAAGGCCGTTTGCGAGGCAGAGACAACACACATTGAACTGGGTCGACTGCATCCATATTTCTATGAGTTTGGTCGCTATCTAACACCTTACGATCGCAACCATGTGATTGGCCGCATCATATTTGAGACGCTGCGCCAGCGTGTGCGCCATTTGTTGGACATATCGAAGAACGATGGTGAGAGCAAGCGCGAGCATCGACTCGACAGCATCGAGAGCAAGCTCCACGAAGCGGGTCTGCGCACCAATACCCAGGTAAGTCTCCTGCCATATCCCAGCGATAATCGACACAATCACTCATCCAATGCCCATTGTAGTACATCAACTGGCTGCAGATGAGCGGCAATCACATACGCATCTCCCAGCTCGTCGAGGAGCATCAGAAGAAACGCAAACGAGCCGAACGCAGCGACGACGAAGGCGGCGATGAAACGGACACGCCCACTAGCAAAAAACGCAGCACAATGTAAACAAGATGTGATAATAGAGACATCGAAAAAAAACACACACACTTTATTTATGTTTCACTTTAAGCGTATTTGTAAAAAAGAAATCTATAAACTAATTGGGGAAAATCCAAGAAGTATACAAAAAATAACAAATTAAAAGGGGGACAACAACAAAAATGATTTCATAAATTCGACTTGCCGAAAATTGTATAGCTCGATAGATTCCGAGAGATAAGATAATGGAAGCATTTCAAACAAAAATGCTAATCTACTTCTCTAGACAATTCTACACTTAAATTGTACAATATATAATTCACATAAAAATAATGTTCATGTCTTAATTACAATTTTAAAACAGAGCTGAAAAATCCGATTTCATTTAGATGGATTCATAGTTCGTAATTCAATATTTATAAACACATACATATACATATGTAAAAAGTCTATTCAGATTTCCAGATTTTCGGCTAGATAGATTTTGGGATTTTTGTTTGTTTTGTTTTTCGTTTTCTAACCCCCAGTGTGGTAAATACGTACAACAACCATATTGTTTATAATAACATCCATATTTGTGGCAACCAATTAAGTTTTCATCTTAGTTATTTAAGCAGTTTTCGAATGACTTTTGTAAATATTTTCATACATTTCACTGTCGTCACACACACAAAAAAACAAAAGTAAAATTTTTTAGTACAATATAGCTGGGTATATAGTTGGGTTAGAATATATGTATATTGTTATGTATAGATCTCTGTTTATATGTATGTATATATTTTGTATTTTGTATATACGATTATATCCTCTCATTTGTTACAACAACACTGGGAACAATAAGCGCACCTATCAAGGCAACAGTTTGTCAAGCATTTGTTTGGTTTTCGAGTCGTTTCTCAATTGAACTACTTAACTAATACGGAGACATGCACATACCATATATGCACACATACACATCAATATATATGCATATACACATACACATATATAGATATATATACTCTTGTATATGGGTAACATACTTGTGCTCGTTTGGATTTTGTAAGCTCTGTTGGAATTTGGAATATAGTATATCTTCATTTATACATATATATATATATACTCGTAATCGAAACATAAAATATTTGTGCTCTGGCCATCAAATCTAATTTGATGGGCTGCGACATGTGGAAGATCATATATCTGTAAAGATCTTAAGCATGGTTCAAATATATAGTAGTATGAATACACATATACATATATATATAGTATTAGAATAACTCTTGCAGCTTGATTTTGATTTTATTTTCTGTTCTGTTTTGGATTTTCTCTTATCACATTTACTCTACACATCTCTCTCTCTCTTTCTCTCTCCCTCACTCACTTTCTCTTTCTATACACATACATCTGCTTAGGTACGCATGCCTCGGCCAGCCGAGTTCTATATATAATTTCTTTGATTTCATTTACAATATTTCATTTAATTTAACAGCCAGTTTAACATGTGGTTAAACAATTAACAGGACATTCAAGCTGACTGCAGGCAGCTACCAAATGTGACATACATATACATATATGTATATATAGGAAAGTTTTACGATTTATAAAGTAGCTAGCTGTCAGTGTTGCCACATCGTCAAATATTTAACATGCACTTTAACAGGCACCTTAACTATATATGGCTTGACCAATAGATGGGCATTACAATCTTAGCTATACGTTTTTCTTGCTCTACTTCTTCTTCATCTTTGCAGAAGATAGATTACAACATTTACATAAATTTGACTTGATTTTGTTTGTTTTTGCATTTGGACTCGTTCTTGCTTTTTAAAAGTAAGCAACATCATTTTATTTTGTTTCTTATTTTTCGTTTCGTTTTTCATTTTTTTCTCTTTTGCTCTTTATCGTTTTTGATTTGTTTTTGTAATTGTTTGTTTTTGTTTTTGTTTCCTTTAGTAATGTCCTTAAATGTTTATAAAGTGTATATAACTAATCAAGTGCCTCTGGCTGGGATCTGGCTGTCTGTTGTCTTTCAAAAAGCTTTTCTCAAATCATCGTGTAAAATAAACTGCTGCGATTCTTCTTGTTAAATAGTTAATAAACAAAAGCAAGGCGTGTGCAAATGGTGTTGCAAAAACAAAAACAAAAAAAAAAGTGTTAAAATACATTAGTTGAATGTATTAATAGCTATGCAGTTGGGGCCGGACTTCTCTCCTCAATTGCATCTCGTCAACTTTAACAATTCGCACTACTTCTGCTTGCCATTGCTTATGGGGGCGGCTAGCGTGGGTGGGGGCGTGGACTTAGCCGTGGGATTCGGTGAATCTGGAGGCGTTGGCGTGGGTGTGAGTGTGGGCGTGGCCGCGGCCGTGGGCGTGGGCGTGTCGGTGAGGGCATTTGGCTGCGACTGAGTGCCAAGAGTCGAGGGCTGCTTCTGTCGTTTCGGCAGAAAAACCTGTGAAAACACATGAAAATAAATGAGAGCCAATATAATCTATCTCTCTCTGAACAAAACGAGAGACAGAGACAGAGAGAGAGAAAGAGAGAGAGCAGGACAATCACATACCTTAAGTGCACCCATAAACATTAGATAGAACCAGTAGAGCTGCGGCAAGAACAATATGGCCATGCTGATGAGGCAGCCACGCGGCAATCCGCACATGGCCGACCACATGGAGGCGGCATCGATGGCCAGGCTATAGCGCCACATGACATATGGCCACATGCAGACGCGGCAGACAAAGAACGTGACCAGCATCAGGAGTCCATTGACAATATACGCACGCGAGTCCTTCAGCCCCATCGTGCTCAAAATGCTGCGCAGCGAGACAAAGGGCGTGGAGAACTCCATCATGAACATGTAGCTATAGATGCAATGTCCGCCTCCGCGTATATACTGAAAGCAAGGAACAGTATTACGGTATGTTTAGATGTATATAATTCCATTCGATGCTCACCGTCACGACCAGCAGTCCGAAGGTGCCAATGAAGACGTGATGTATCATCATCACCGGATGCGTTAGCACATACTTCAAGAAGTCCCAGCGGCCATCCTTGGGTATCTGGACACAGGCGCCATCATAGTCGCATATCTCGTGCGGTGTGCTCGGCGTGCTGCCGTTGTTGTTGCCACCGCCGCGGTCGCCGCCACCAACGCCGCCGGCCTTGTCGTAATACTTGCGGGCATGGCCATTGGCAAAGGGCTTAGACTTGGTCAGGCGCAGCAAGTGCAGCTTGTCGGCTATCTTCTGGGTGTGCACCTTGTACATGGACCAAATGTCGTACATGAAATAGGCGGTGCCGAACCAGCCGTATGCCTCCATTAGAAAGTGCGAGGCATACACAAACGACTTGCTGCACGTTGACTTGCAGACGATCAGACCCACCAGAAAGGAGAACGAGGCCTGGATGGCCGAGACGATTCTGTAAAGAGCAAGAAACAAAATCCGTTAAAAGAGATCGGAATAGTTGGCCAGAGCAGAGTTAGCAATGAAACAAACTCTGAGTTAACAGTGAGCTGTTAGTTTACAGGGCACTGCAACCAGCCTGTTAACTTGGACAGAGATCAGTTAGCAATGAAACAAACTGACTTAACAGTGAGCTGTTAGTTTACAGGGCACTGCAACCTGGCTGTTAACTTGGACAGAGATCAGTTAGCAATGAAACAAACTCTGAGTTAACAGTGAGCTGTTAGTTTACAGGGCACTGCAA